GGTATCAGAGCTCAGTTGATTATCTGTAATTTTTGTTTTTTTTTGGGGCGAGTTACTGTTCATCGGTACTATTCACAGATTATTGTTCATCGACGTTACTGTTCATCGGCGATTACTGTTCATCAACATTGTTCATTACACTTTTCATCGGCACTGTTCATTGACATTGTTTGCAATTTTTGGTATGGTTTTTCTTGCTCGTTTCTGTATTTGGTTTGGTTTGATTTGTTCGTTTTGTTGGTTTTGAGGGTTATGTTTCGTCTAACTTTGTTGATTTTGAGATCTTAATTGTTTTTGCTGCTACTCGTATTTACTGTTTGACTGATATTGAAATATGGCCCTAAAAGATGATTCTCTCCAGTCTATTAGTATTCAACTTGATGGCAAAAACTATGCCTATTGGAGTTATGTTATGAAAAATTTCTTGCTGGGCAAGACTGTGTGGGGGATTGTTACAGGTGATAAGAAGAAACCAACAGAGGAAAAAGCTAATAATTATGCAACTTTACTGGATTCATGGGTGATTGATAACTCCAAGATCATTACTTGTATTAATAATTCTGTCATCCAGTCTATTGGTACTCAGTTGGCGAAATATGACACGACAAAGGAGGTTTGGGATCACTTGGCTAGATTGTATACTCAGTCTAACTTTACAAAGCAATATCAGTTAGAGTTTGATATTTGAGACCTCCAATAGAACAATCATTGTGTTCAAGAATTTTATGCAACTATGTCAGAGTTGTGGGATCAATTAGCTCTTACAGAACCTGATGTGTTGAAGGCTTTGAAGCCTTATATTGATAGAAGGGAAGAGCAATGTTTGGTTCAGTTCTTGATGGTATTATGTTTAGATTTTCTAAGTAGATCAATCTTGCATCATACACGTCTTCCCACTGTTGATTCGGTTGTTCACAAGTTGATTGCTGAAGAAACTCGTATCAAGTCGCATGCTGACAAAGCTCCCAAGACAGGCATTCCTACTGTCTTTGCTGTTCCACAACGACCTTAATATTCAAACTAAAACTGTCCCAGAGTTGCATTTGATGAGTGTGCTTTCTGTAAGAAGAAGAACCATTGGAAGGCAAATTATCCTTTACTGACAAGCAAAGGAAGGCAAATTATACTTTGCTGACAAGCAAAGGAAATCGACAGCAACAACAAACAAGATCACTAGCACAGTCTCAGTCTTCATAATAGAACAAGTTTTCTACACAGTCATGTCCCTGATTTTCATATTTTAGGCCACCACAGTACGCTGCTGCTACACCTTCAGTTGAGAATGAAATAGATTTCACACCACCATCAGCCTTGGATCCACAGATTGTTGAGCAGTTCAGGCATTTCTTAATTAGCAATCCAACTGCCATGTTAGCTTCTATGTCTCATTCAGGACTGTTTTCATCCAACACGTCAGGTATTCCTTCATCCTTGTGGATATTCTGGTGCATCTCATCACATGTTACCACATTTTTCATCTTTTCATTATCTTCTCGTACACCTGTCTATGTTATGTATTCTAGTCCTACACCCATGTCAGTAGAGGGTGTTAGTTCTATTGTCACTCCTTATATATCTTTAACAAATGTGTATTACATTCCTACACTTGCTTTGAATCTTGCATCGGTCAGTCAGTTGTGTAAATCTGGTTGTTGGGTCTTCTTTTCTGATTCATTCTATTGTGTACAAGATATTCGGTCTCAGAGGGTGATTGGTATAGACCGTAGACTTGGAGAGCTTTATGTCTTAGAGCAGCTACATGTTGCTGATGTTGCTGCATCTAGTCTCGATTTGTTGTCTTTTCGTTTAAACCATTCATCGTCTCTTTTTTATCTTTGGTATTCTCGTTTGGGACATGTGTCAGCGTCTCGTTTACAGTTTTTGGTTTCCATTGGTGTGTTAGGATCTTTGAAATTTGATGATATTTCTGATTGTTGTGTTTGTAAAGTGGGAAATTTTTTTGCTTTACCGTTTAATAAAAGTGTCACTTGTTCTGTTGCTCCCTTTGATATTGTGCATAGAGATGTGTGGGGTCCCTCTCTGATCACCTCCAAATCAGGAGCTAACTATTATGTTTCATTCATTAATGATTACACTCGTTATACATGGGTTTATTTTATGAAGCACATGTCAGATTTTTTCACCATATATAGTGAATTCAGAGCTCTTGTCAAGACTCAACATTCTACTGTCATAAAATGTTTTTGGTTTGATTTGGGAGAAGAATTTACCCCCAATGATTTTAAACAGTTATTGGCATCTGATGGAACTGTACATCAATCAACTTGTATAGACACTCCTAAGCAGAATGGTGTCGCAGAAAGAAAACATCAACATCTCCTAGAAATAGTTAGATCCTTACTACTCTCTCCTCAAGTTCCCAATATGTTTTGGGGAGAAGCTGTTCATACCGCCACTTATGTTATTAATCGCATTCCTACTGCATACACTTCGGGGAAGTCTCCTTATGAAATCTTGTTTGGACAACTCCCAGATTATTCTTCATTATGAGTGTGTGGGTGTACATGTTTTTTATAGAAGCCTCATGTAGAGCGAGATAAGTCTTCAAAATTACCTCTTTGTGTTTTTTTGGGATATGGTATTGGTCAGAAAGATTATCGATGCTATGATCCTTCAAATCCGAAATTGTATGAATCTCACAATATCACCTTTTTGGAGCATATTCCATTCTATAGCATTCCTATTCAGTCACATGATGCAACCCAAGATGAGCTTCGTACTATTGATCCATTTAGCATTGTCATTGATGATCCACCACATGTCACTGGTCTACCACTTGCTGCTAATCCACCACATGCATTTGATCCACCATATATCGTTGATCTTCTACTTGCAAATCATAAGATCCCCCTCCATCAAGGCCTTATCGTACTAAGAAGTGTACAAAGCTTCCTGACTTTGTCTATTCCTCTTACTCATCGGTGTTTGCCTCCTTTATTGCTAATGTACATCGTCTCTCTGAGCCAACAGCCTACAAAGAGGCTATTTCTAATCCCCCTTGGCAGACCGATATGGTTGAGGAACTTGCAACTCTTTATCAGACTCATACATGGTATCTGGTTCCACTTCCACCCGGAAAACACACAATTGGTTGTCGTTGGGTTTATAAAATCTGTTGGAGCATGAAAATGTTCTACAAATAATGAGTGATAGACTGATAGTTAGGTTGTATTTTTCCCTTATTGTATTGTTGGTGTATTTTACTCTCCTTCATATATAAAGGGAGAGGTGGTCACTTTTCATGTAATGCATCTTTTCTAAAATGTAATCACAGAGAGAGAAATTATGGGATCTCTCCCTACCAAGGGATATTCTTCTCTCCCACCCACGTTCTTTATGCATTCTCTTTCTTTTCTTCCTTTCCCTTATTTATCTATGAATACTCATTAAATGTTCTTCATATTTTTTATATTTCATACACGATATATTCTTGATATTATCTTCCGCATCCACCGTTCGTATAAAAATGGGTTCTATCAATTAGTATCAGAGCCGTACCTTGAAGGTTTAATCGACTAGTTCAAGAGAACGAATCCGTTTCGATGATTATCTTGAAGATTTTTTGTGTTTTTGCAAGAATTTTCGGATCCAAACCGGAAACGTTTTGATGAGTTTTCTATTTTTCCGTGGTGATTCTTGCTTAGAAGAATAATTATGTTGCTGCTGCTCACACAAATTCTTTGCTGGAAATTTATGTTTTTGAGGTTCTAAGTATTTTTCCATTGAAGAAATGAAGAAAAATGGAAGAGGAAATTATTTTTGTAGTCTCCAAAATGTTGAAGAAATTGTTCCAGGAGATTCTTTATTCTTAGAGGAAAAGACACAAATTATGAGATTATTTTTCTTAAAGTGATGTATCTTTTTTTACCCAATAACTCTTCTTCATAGAGGTATGAAGTTCTTATTCTTCACAATTTTATTGTTGTGAATCTTTTGTTTCAAGAGTTTGGACGTATTTAAGTGTTTGCATAAAACACTTTGTCATTTTTGCTCTATTGGGTAAAATGTATTTCACTCACTTTTGCCTTCCCAAGTAAAAAACATATGACATTGTCCAATCCCATCACCTTTTGTCCCTTAAAACCCACCTGCACACTCATTTTCCTTTGACCAAAGCCCTTTTTCCTCATCTTTATTTATCAAAAAAAAAAAACAAGATCTGTTGATGGACCGCAGCCTCGGATGTGAAGGAACCTGGCCGCATCCTCTTTCTCGGCTGCGGACCGAGGTCTGGACTCCATATCTTTGAATCTTGCTGATGAACTGCAGTCAGACCGCAACCCGCTCCTTTTTGCCCTCAGTTCGGATCAGTGCCTTGGTTCAAACCGTAATTAGTTGTTGTCATCTTCTCGGACTGCAGTCATCCAATAGACCGCACGTGCGAGCCGCAATATCCTTCGCACCGCAACTAACTTTTCCACCCACAACCTCCCCCTCGTCTGCAGCCACCGCGCCTCTTAGATACGAAGCCACATATGATCTGCCTTCCCCCCTTGCGTCCACACACAATCAAACCCTTCCGCACCCAACCTTCCATCCACAACCAACACTTCCTTGACCTCGGTTCAGCTCGTTCTTCATCCCCCCTCCTCGCTAACATCGGCCAGACCCTCCCTCCTCCCTTCTCTTCTTCCTCCTTCCTCCATTCTTTCCCTTCCTTATTATTCTTTCCTTCCCTTATCTCTTCTCAGCCCTGTTTTTTAAACCCGCTTATTATTTTTTTGTTCAGTTTTATTTATTTGTTTATTAAATAACTTTTTTCAATAAATTATTTTTTTAACACCAATTTTTTTATTTAGTGAATTTTTTATTGACAAAATTGCAAAAATGGTCCCTGTGTTTAAAAAAATTATGCGACTTTGGTCCAAAACGATACTTTGATGCACCACTGGTCCAAAATTGGATTTTTCCATTGTTTTTGGTCCCTCCCATTAACTTCCGTCCATATAGTCCGTTATATGCAACAAAGACGGGGGTATTTTCGTCTTTCCACCTCCATATCATCGATTACCGCCATATTGAATGATATACACAGTTAATGACCCTTCACTCTACGCACTAAACCCACTTTGTTGATCGAAAACCCTAATCGTTCATTGAAATCTTGCATTTGATCATCAACCGCAATCGTAAGTTTGAATCCATGAGTATGGTCCAAATGTGGGAAATCAGGCCAAGAAATCAGTGTTTTGATGCAATCCGAATTTACGGTAACGTACTCTGTTTCTTACATATTTCTTTGAAACAAAAAACAAAATCTTTTACAATCCATATAAAGTAATGTTTTTTTGGTTTGGTTCATGATTTTTACAGAAGGATATCCCACGATGTTCACTATTGAGCTCCATCATGGAGGGAGGTTCACAAAATTCCCAGGGATAAGCTACATTGAAGGAAAATTAGACCACATTGACTTGGTAGACATGGATGAGTTCTCTGTGCATGAGTTGGACGAGGTGATGCTGAAGCTTGGTTATGATGTACCACCAGTCATTTACTACCACTATCAATTGCCAAATGGAGATTTGGAGTTTGGTCTTAGAGCTCTAGGGAATGATATTGATGTACTTAGTCTTGCACAGTACATTGAACATCATAAGATCATCAAGGTATACACTGAACATAATGAAACTAAGTTACTTACATACTTTATGTCTCCAAGAGTTAAACCTAGGGTCATAATTGAGGAAATAGCAGATGATGTGCCCACTGCAACTGTTGGTGATCAAGATGTCCCAAATCTTGAATTGTGTTTAGTAAGATATGAGACACCCGAATACAATTCAAATAAGAGATTGAGGTTAGTTGATGGGAGTCAATCATGTAGTAAGAAATTGTGTTTCAACTTGGAACACACTGCAACTGTTGGTGATCAAGATGCACATGTTGAAATTGGTAATGAAGGTGCAAATATTAGTGAGCAAGGTGCAACTGTTGGTGGTCAAGATACACATGTTGAAATTGGTAATGAAGGAGCAAATGTTAGTGATCAAGGTGCACCTGTTGGTGATCAAGATACAGAAGTTCATGATCAAGGTGCAAATGTTGGTGACCAAGAAGTAAATACAAGAGAGTTTGATACCTTTGATGACCAACCATTTCAATTTGAAGACTTTGATCCTTTCTTTGATCAATATACTTTTAATGATGGTAATGATCAGAGTATGGGTGTTGGTGCAGAACTTGGCACAGGACTAGGGGAAGTTCAATTTGAAAGTGAGGGAGTTTGTGAAGGACTTGGTGAAGGAGGTAGTGAAGGGGGTAGTGAAGGGAGTGAGGAAGATAGTGACTTTCTTGAAGATGAAGAAAACTATGTACGTGATATTGAGGTGGACATGAGTGATTTCTATATGAATGTTGATCTAGATGTTGAATATGTTGACAGAGGAAAAGGTGTTGAGACTGAAAATGAAGTTGTTGATACAGAAGATGTTGAAGATGTTGAAGTAATTGATAATGATGAATGGGACTCATTAGGTGAAGATAGTGATGATGAAAGAAGGAAAGCAATATTAAAACAGATGGGGAAGGAGAAGAAGTGCTCTCTTGGTGAAGTCCATACAGTTACCCACAGGCTGAGCATGGATTCCGTCTAAGACATATTTATGAGAACATGAGGAAAAAATGGAAAACAAAAGAGTATAAAGATCACTTATGGTAGTGTGCAATAGCAACCACAGTACCAGAATTTGAACACTACATGAATGAACTTAACAAGTTTAATAAGGATTCTTTTGAGTGGTTGAAGAAAATCCCCTCTCACCATTGGGCCAGAAGCCACTTTTCAGGTTATATTCCCTAAATTAGGTGAAGCTTTACTAGTGCTCATTGTATATGGTTTAGTTCATATAATTTTCTTGTTTAATACAGGCAGAGCAGGATCAGATATATTGCTCAAAAATTTATGTGAGGTTTTCAACAGTAAGCTTATTCATGGTAGGAATAAGCACATCATAAGTTGTCTTGAGTACATCAGGCAGTACCTTATGAAGAGGATTTACAATGTGAAGAAAGTGATGTCCAAAGCTCCAGGTCCACTCACTCCAACAGCATCAAAGTTACTTGAGAGAAATAGGGAAGCTTCAGTCGAATATAGAGATAGATGGAATGGGACTGCAAAGTATGAAGTTTATGGTCCTTGGCATGACCAGCATGTGGTTGACATGACAAATATGTCATGTACATGTAGAAGGTGGGAATTGAATGGGATTCCATGCAGGCATGCCATAGCTACAATACATGAAATGGCTGATAGTGGAGACAAAGTTGGGGAGCTTTACACTTATGTCAACAAAGTGTATTGGCTTCAAACATGGAATGAAGCTTACTCTTACACTGTGGACCCTATAAAGGGTAGAACCATGTGGCCAAAAAGTACCTGTCCATTTCAATTAACACCACCACCACATCACAATCAACCTGGGAGACCTAAGACCAAGATAAAGAGAAGTCCAGATGAAAAATATAATAAACAGATGCAAAATCATGGTGCAGGTGAACCTGAAAAACTTACCAGAAAGTTTGTTAGTGTCAGGTGTGGGAAATGCAACAATAGGGGTCATAACTCAAGGACGTGCAAGGGTCAAGGTGGGAATGCAGGAAGCAATGAAGGAGGGAATGCAGGAAGCAGTCAAGGAGGGAATGCATGATGCAGTCAAGGAGGGAATGGAGGTAGCAGTCAATGCAGGAATTAGTGTATTTTGTTTAAAAACTTATCTTTTGGTTTAGCACAACTTTTGTGCATTTGGATGTAATGGTTTAAAACTAGTTTGTTGTAATGGTTTTATTTTGGTCTTTTAGCCCTTTTGGTCATGAAACTAATGTCAACCTTTTGTCATTGGTGAAGAAAGATGTTTATGGTTTATACCAATTGTTGGTTGTCATGTTTATGGAACACATTTATGGTTATAACAACTGTTTTCTGAAACAACAAATAAACATTAACATTAGGTGATAACTGCAATACATTTTCATTATATCCTTGAAAAGGGTACAAATTTCTGAAGTTGTCCAAAATAACCCTAAACTGATATTACATTATCAAATACCAAAAACTACCACATTCCCTTGTTACAATTTCATAAGACAAAAAACACCCAAAATTACATGCAACTACAGGGGTCCCTAATTGCTTATTACTAAATGAAAAGCACCCAAACCACCACAAATAGTAACCAACTTGCAAACAAACACATCTTCAATCTTGCCACTTGATAGTTTACATTGTTGATATTCCTCAATAATCCGGGTATTATCAACATAGATCGTGCACACATGGGAGGATCAATCCATCCTAAGAATCGGCATCTGGAACCCTTCACGTAACAAAATAAACCCTAAACATGAGGGTGATTTTCCAAAATGAGGGTAAAATAGCAAAATCGAACACTTACCTTTTGAGGGCAGGAAAGAAACCTCCGACCAAGGTTTGCTGATGTCCAGGAGGTGTGAACCACTGCTTCCCTACCACAGAAACACATCACCATTTTAATTTTTGATCTCTAAGAAATTGTGAACACAGAGTAGGAAGAGTATGAAGCTCGTGAAGTTGAAGATGGAAGAGTGATGTAGCTCTGCTTTTATTTTGAATAAGGTTGCAAAAAAGGTCCCTGTAAGTGGAAAGACGAAAATACCCCGGTCTTTATTGCATGTAACGGAGTATATGGACGGAAGTTAATGGGAGGGACCAAAAACAATGGAAAAATCCAATTTTGGACCAGTGGTGCATCAAAGTATTGTTTTGGACCAAAGTCGCATAATTTTGCCAAACATAGGGACCATTTTTGCAATTTTGTCTTTTTTATTAAAACCAATTTTTTAAAAAAAAAAACAATTATTTTTTTAACACTAATTTTTGCTACAACCGAACCTTGAATTGTCACATTGGTTCATTTCATGCCGATTATTTTGGAAGAATACTCCATACCACAGTTGGACTTCATACTATTCTTTGTGATGCTTGCACCGTAACGGCGATTGATCAACAAAGTTGTTTCACATTCTTCACTTCATGAGATTTTATGATTGGCGCTCTTGATCTTCGGTTGATGAATCATGTATCTTGAGCATGTGCACTTTATCCTTTATTGAAGACCACTTCGAGAGTTCCGACATCATAGTTTGGGTATCTTGGTATATTTTCGGGACGACAAAGATATTTTTCATGCAGTGATTCTTCGTTCTATTGTATTTATTCATTCAGCTTCAGCAACCGAATCACCTATCTTCTCATGACCGTAGACTATCTCGTTTACTCTATTTCTCGTGTCTTATCGAGACCGTTCATATATCTAGGGAGAGCTCTCTTAGCTCTTGGTATCCGACACTCTCCATCCGATGATTTGTTGATGTTTGATATCAGGTCATTGGTTATTAAAAGTAGAGAGAGAATATCATCCGGATTTGGTTATTATGAGTTTAATTTTTTGAAGACTTCTGAAGACGATGATTTATTTAGTGATGCGATGTGACACTTATTTTTGGTCTTCATGGATCAAAATTTTGGCATTTACTAGATGATTCTCGGTTCCAAATAATTTATTATTCAGACTCTATCACAGGATGATTTTGTGTTCGCATCCGGTTCAGATCTTATGGTTTTTCGAGTTTGGATTTGTGATATTTTGAAGCCGAAGATTATTTTGGCGATGTGAAGTGACACTTACTTTTGATCTTTTGATCAAATTTTTGGCATTGTTGGACCATGTATTTAGACTCACATTATTTATTATCTGGACTTCATTTTTTTTTTGGATGTTTCACACTTTTAGCTGGTTATTCTTGAAGAATTTTTCTGTATTATGATTCGAGAATTTGAGATGTATTTTTCAGACATTTTGAAGCCGAAGTGTTTCTTTTATTGAATCTTCTACTTGCTCATGGTGATCTTTTGAAGATTTGGATTTTACGTTTCTGCTTCATTGGTGGTGCTTTGAAGCCGAAGACTTTTATTTTATAGAGATTTATGGCCAATTTCAGACTTCACAAACACTTCAGAGTTTCAGAGACCTTTCAACATTTTGTTCTCAATATATTTCATTTTATTACCACAATTGCTAGTCGGATTACTATATTATTTTCACACCCCAAACCAGAATGGCGGAAATGTTCGGGGCGGAGGACGTCATGTTCAGTATCATAACAATGCACAATAGTAAAACAAGCAACAACATCATCCATTACATTAATAGTATAATTTATACATGTGTGTTCTGAATGTATTTGCAAGACACCAATAATATATATATATATATATATATATATATATATATATATATATATATATATATATATATATATATATATATATATCAAAATAAAAGACGAGTCTTGAACACACTCTGTCTTCTCAAAACCTGGTCAGTGTACCTGTCTACTAGTGAACGGAGAATACAAGTTATTTTGAAAGAGTAGATCAACATTAAAGCTGATGAGTTCATAAGTATTTTAGTGTCAAATGTTTGTATAAGTTTGAAAAAACGTTTGTAAATGTTTGATGTAAAGTTTGTAAATGTATGATGTAAAGTTTGTATACTTCCTAGAAAATCCTATATTTTCTACTAAAATGGAGAGTAGTCTTTGACCAAGACCCAACTGTTCTGTATGTTTGTTCTTTTGTAAAAGTGAGAGTTTTCCCAATTATATGACTATTATTTCTAGAAAATAGTTTACAGTACTTTTTATGTGAGAAGATCACTATATGAATGTAAAGGGAAAATGACAGTGTACAGTAATGTTGTAATAAGTAACTACTGAAAAACTAACTACCTTAAAACCATTTTGTTTAATTAAGGTTAAAATGTGACGTGGTTATAACCACAATGATTGACAAATGTTTAACACGACGACCTGCTGGCGTCGACACTAATGTGACATTTTTCACCCGTTGGCCTTGCCAGCCAAACTGTAATGAATACTCGGGATGCGGGCTTGTCAGTCCCGTATAGATCTATACACACAATGTCCGCTCTCCCTCTAGGAGACTCTGGTTACAAAACGCGACCTAACAAGTATATTGCTAAGTCATGAAGTAGTCTCACATTAATGTTATTTTGTGCTTGTAAAAGGATGTATGTTCCTTTCTGTTTATTGTTATTGTATGTTTGAACTGTTTCTTATCCTAGTATGCTTGAAGTGTTTCTCGTTATAGTATGTTTGAGCTGACTCATGTATGTATTGACTCTTGTAAGTTTCATTGTCCTACAAATGGTAAGTATTATTCTCCTAAACTATACCTATTATAGTTTACTAGTAATGTTATTTGAATGTCTGATTATGTTTGTGCACCTTTGTTACCCAAAAGTATTGAACTGATTGGAAGAACTTTTATATCTACGTACATATACACAATATATAATTAAGATTCAAACGACACTCGGACAAACAACTAATACCCTAAGTCCACAACCAAACAAGGAACATGAAATAAAGTGAGTTATCAGTCCTAAGTCCTTTCAACCATATATATATATATATATATATATATATATATATATATATACACACACACACACACACACACATGATTTTAACAATATATAAGTTTAAAAGAATTTGATAAAGAGTTTAACATATAAAATAGTTTAGCATATAAATG